GCTATAACAATTGCTATAATTCTCAACGAACGTCTCACGTGCTCGACTCAACAATACTCAGTTCCATTACACACGTTGTGACCATCTTATATATACAACACTAACACATATCTAGTAAACGCTAGAGCATTCATGAAGGAACAGGATATTTCTAGAAGTCAATGACGTGTTACTAGCATCACGTGACTTCCGCTGTCGTAACAGTATGATACTTACTTCCTTAATATCTAGGAATATTATTAACGTAGTTTTTTCTTTTTCAGACTAGATTTGTCACTTTGAACTTCTGTTCTAAATCCTTTGACAAAATTTGTTTTTCAGTTAGGTTGAGAAAAGTTATAAAAAATAGGGATGGTGGATTGAAATTTATGATGAATTCTTAGTTGTTAGTATTTCTAGCCTTAAAATGTATAGTATACCTAAGATCTTCTAAGAAAAATTCAACCACTGATATTATTAAAAACAGATATGGTAGATAGGTGCTAGTTCAATTTACACAATATTTTTCTTTAATGAAAGTAAACATTTCAAATAATTTCCTGATCTTCTTAAGTTTAAAGTTTCTGGTCTAGTGTGTCAGAACTAAGTAAGGTATAATAAATCAAAATTGAATTACTTAGTTTTGACATTAAACAAAAACATCAACTATTGAAATCTTTAACAAGTTCATACATTTAAGTTGTTGGAAAATTGTATAAAATGTTTAGACTTTGTATACTTAAAAACTTTTGAATCCCAAAATAATAAAATTCTAAACAAGTTAGACAAAAAAACTTAAGTTTAACAGTCTGAAACATCAGTTAGGTAAAAATTAATTTACAAAACAACTGGACAGATTATTTTTAATTTCTCAAAGTATACATTTTTGGCGATATTGAAAAGAAAGTTTTAGCTCATGGTTTGAAATTTAGTATCTCTAATAAGTTTAGGTTTAAAGAGTATTTTTTACAGTTTGAACAGTTTTTGTAATTACTGTCACATCAACCTATCTGGTATAAGTCAATCTATTACTAATCTAATCAAAAACACCTTAGGTAACAAAATAAGGTGCAGCCAAAAGAGGATTGAACATGCAACTTAAAGGAATGAACTCAAAATTGTCAGCCAAACTGGTAGCTACACTTATAGCATTGATAAGAATTTTACGGCAAATATTCATTCACCAGTAAGCCAGGCCACATTTGTTTTCAGCTTGGGGCATGATGGTGGGTAAAACAAAATACACAACCTAGCTAACTAACAAATGAATATATGCTGTAAAAGTCTTATCAATGCTATAACTGTAGCTAACCAGTTTGACCACCAATTTTGATTACTTTTACTATTTTTCATTCTCTTATTTAATATAACATTATAAGTTTCTAATTATTGCATATTAATTACTTGCATATAATAACAAATAAAGAATACGCATGAAAAAAAAAGGAAATAAAGAACTTACCTC